AAAAGGTAATAAAGACTGCACATTATAAATCTATCAAACCACATGTAAGTATATAAAAATGTTAAGATGACTTGTATACCTATTTCATTATATTCAATTAAATCTAATTTTTTTGTTTTTAATTTTTAATTATGAGTATCAATTTCTAAAGTAAAATAATTGGTTATTTATAATTATTTTATATTAGTAGTATGTATTGTGTGCCTATACTACTTGGGAAGTAGCTTACTTTAGATACTTACTTAAGTATAGAGTTGGTACAGCATTTTGAGTGAGTCATTTACTTGAAGAATGTTAAAACTGTTCAAAATGACGATCGCATATTCTTATGTTGTTATAAATGTAAGAATCTTCCTTTTGTTTCATGTCTTCATTTAAAATATTTTTCCATTGAATGAATTTCTCCAAATTTGGGTATTCAGGTTTAGGAAATGGATGAAAAGGACCTGAAATGTATTTTATTAGAAGTCAATAAACTGTTACGATTGAAATTGATGTAACAAGAGTAGTAATTGATTGTATATATGACAAATAATAATTTTATAGATTTTACTAAATAAGTATCGTACCTTTAGTCGTACACCGAAAATAACACTTAATAGCCGATTTTCGTGGCATTTTTTCAACTTATCGATAATCCAAATTCGTAGTTTGCAATCAAAATCCAAATGAGAAGAGCTGGAGTCGATCGTAGTCGCAGACAACAAAGTCCAATTGAGAAAAGCCGGGGTCGATCGTCAAAAGCGTAGAAATAGGAGTCAATGATATATTAAGCCGGGTCAAATGTTTGAAAAAGAACGTACAGCACAAGAAGAACAGTAAACAACGGCAAATGAGCAACTGAAATAATTTAAAATATGTCCTAATGTCAAATAAATTTGAGAGCTACTTTATTACAGATATCTTTTCTTTCACGGTAATTATATGACAGTTTCATCCAGTGTTGCCAGCCGTACGATTTAAATCGTATTTATACGACCTTTTTGACTCTTGTACGATGTACGATCGAAATCGTACGTAAAATATACGAAATTTTAAATGGAGTCATACAAAAAAAAATCTCCAATAAAACTATTAGGAATGTGTAAAACTAAACTTTAGTACTATAACTATAATTAACTATATTTAGTACTATACTATAACTATAAGGAATACGTAAAACTAAACTGTATTCCAGAAATGGGAAAATAAGAATTTGTTAGCTGCACAACATATTAAAGAAAAAGGATCGTTTATAAACTTCAAGCCATGTGACGATATGCTGAGCAAATTAAATTTTAGTATGAATGTATAAAAAAATAAATTGCTTTTCCCTCATCTGCTGTGCCTAATAGTTTAGATAGTGACTAAAGCAATCCTTTTATTTTTTTTCTGTTTTCAATATATATGTAATTAATGAATATGTTAAATCCACATATTAAATGATGGTTAATGTTAATTGAAAATTAGAATTGAATTCCATTTTTATTTGATATACTTACACAGTTTTATTGAAATTTCATCGCTTACGCTTATTTTCTTGAATTTCAAGACAAAATACTATTTTTTTTAGTCTATAGTACGATCCTCTAAAAAATAAAGTTGGCAACACTGTTAACTCGTTTATTGTTAGTTTTAAAATTATGTTAATTTACATTTTATGATTTTACTATTAATTGCTTTCATAATTCATTTCCCATGTCTCTCCAGTCCTTCCGACTCCCTCTGGTGCCTCTGGTGGCAGTCAGCCTCGGGCCGAGGCCCTCGGCCTTCCTTATGATGGATGTGTTTTAAGTCGTTTAACTTCATGGTGAGTGTTTTTTTTGCACATAGGTACTAATAAATGTTACTTTTTATATTATTGACATAACGCTCAAATACAAATGTTTATTCACTAACATTTTTAGTTTTGGTTAATATTAGTGTTTATTGTCTGTAGTGATAAGAGTACTAGTTTATTTTAATAGTATATTTTGAATTATTCTCTAAGCGTTACATTGACCGCAGGGTTTTTCAACGTTATATCGTTTCAATGGCCTTCTTTATTATTATGTTTTTCACACTCTAAAATGCGACTTCTTGTAAGTCTTAAGAAATCTAGTGTCATAATAAAAACTAGAATCATTCGTTACGTTACAGGACTCGTAAGAATATATAATTCAAGATGAGGGTCGAAGCTGTTGGTGGAGCGTCTGTTAGGACATGGTCTGCGGACGAGAGGAAACCTTCTATGAAGAGAAGTGTATGTAGCTGATGTACGATAGTAGTGTGACGGTATGTACTGTTAATTTCTCCATAATGTAACTCTTATATTGAGTAAACTGATATCGACACATTCATTTTATAATTCCACATGTGCTGTTGATATTATACAGGGTGACTGGTGAATTACTATCGATATTTGAGGACGTGATATTTGACGATCATATATGACAAAATAAAAATTAATATAACATAAATATTAATAAACTTCTAAGTAAAGTTAACCAAAAGTTGTGTAATTAATTACGCATCGTATGAACACCCTACAGATTAGGTATACACTGACACTCACACATACGCGTGTCGTGACGTGGTGTTGTATCAGCACGCCGCCGCACGCGTCCACACTTGAACACTTGGAACGTGTCAACACTTTATTTATTTATAGGGAAATTTTGTCAAAAATTAAGTACCTATTTTTTTTACATAATTGGAATGAGAATCATGTACCGAGTATTCTCCTTAAATATTGATAGTAATTCACCAGTCACCCTGTATATGATGAAATCCATATGGCGTCTTTCTAGAATAATCGATTATTATAAAAGTGTTTTAATACTGTTTTAAGTAAAATCAATTTATGTGTTTAGTTTAAGTATAAACATTTATAATTTTTGTAGGAATCCAATATTTCAAACAGAATATTAATAATAATTCCATACATAATACAGTATGTTATAAATGATGATACTAACTAGACTGATATATAAAGAATTGTTTTATTTAAATAATAAACCTTCTTAGTGATATGAAGTGTAATTTATTTGTGGATATTTTAAGATTAATATAAAATATTATATTTTTATTTTCAAACAATCCTTGATGTAACTGTCTCCATATGTCTTTATATATGAACAATATTGTTTGTGAACAGTATTAATATATTGTATTATGTATTACAGATGGTGTTATTGGACTGTACTTGAGATTCATCCATCAGGAGATGACGGCTGATCATCAAGTGTTAGCTGAAAACTAACAATGAACCAGGTAGCTATTAATGAAACATGAGTGTGTGATTACACTAGACACAATATATTAAAGACAATGAGCTACACATTGTATGGAGAGGGAAGTGACTGAGATTTAAACATATTAGAATGTAAAAGACTTGAAGTATCAAGTGTAGTGTTGAAGGTGTAGTGTTGCAGCGGCTCAAACAGTCAATGTCTTTTAATACAAGCTTTATCCACACATTTGTATGTAGCTCCTGCGGGACTTGCTTCATGTTAAGAATCATTGTTTCAGTAGCTTCTAGATTGTTAACTTACTGTTGTTACATATTATTATTTTATTATACATATATGTAAAGCGCCCTCACAGTATCTATAATATATATAAACATAATGTATCCACTTGACTATGGCTCTGAGCTTAGAGAATTGGACAGTATCACCAGATCTTTGACATCGCCAGGGGGCGCTGCGGTTTCTTAGTGGTTCAAATGAACTTACTGGGAATTGTGAGTCGAAAACATGTAGCACTGTATGTATAGGTGAGCAGGTTGTACTACAATCACCTCACACGGCTGGTGGAACACTTATTAACACTATCACTACACAGACACACACACATACTGTCCTTCACTAAACGGATGTCTCTGTACAGGTAATACTTGGACACGGAGCTGTGGATTCTGTTGGTGAGGTCGAGATCAGTGTATAAGAAACTAGTTCCTATGAGTGACGGAGAGCGAACCTAAGGACGTGTCGCATTACGTTGAGCTGACTTGTGAACACTACACACACAGAGACACACGGCCCGGTGAGCAATACCGTAAAACGGGATGAATAGCAATGATTTTCAACTTTGTCTTAAGAATTTGTTGTCTATTCCTTTTTTTTTAAACCACAGGTTATTTTAATATCATGTCCGGTATCACAAAGAAACAGCTAAAACAATATTTGGTTAACTATAAGCAAATGTTTTTCAGATTTTTAATAAAATATGTATCATTTCTATTCACCCGACGACTGGGGTCAATAGAAATGCATAAAGGGGTGAATGGAAAAACTGTTAGGGCTGCCAAAAATTACTTAACCAACATGCAAAAATGAAAGGTCGTGTATTTAAAAATTATTTTGGTATGTAAATGGTAAATGAAATTCAAAATTTGTGATTTAAACTATTTATGTGTTTTTGTTAACATAAATAATTAGGTATGTTTGTATTTTAAACGACTTTATTTTTACGGAATGTTATCTCTTTTCAATAAATTAAACAATGTATACTTCTTATTCGTATTTTATTTGAATTAAAGAAAATAACAAATTTAAAAACATTTTTCTGGATTAAAAGTCGCTTATACATAAAGTCGCTTATATATAAACAACTATAAATCTTTTGAACTTAACAATTATTATATCAAAGGTATTACAAATAGGTAATCAACGTTATGACTTTGAAGAATCAGTATTATAACATAAAAGTAATAAACACTCTTAAAAAAAAAAAACAAATTCTAAATCTTCTGAACTTAGCAATTATCATAAAATATATCACAGGTAGTCGATGTCAGCCTTCATTATGGCTTTGTAAAATGCAGAAAGCACTACTCCGTAAAAATAATCAAAATTCTTTAAAAAAATAAAACTAAATTCTAAATCTTCTGAACTTAACAATAATTATCATAACAAAGTTGTTACAGGTAGATAACTTCAGTCTACGTTACGTTCTCACTAAATGTAAAAATAATAAAAAAAAACAATAAAATTTTAAATCGTTCCAACCATGTTCCAACTTAACAATTTACAAAGTTTTCACAGGTCATCATCATCCTCTTCTAAAACTTTTAATATTTCGTCACTATCATTATAGTAATTATTTGTGTGTTTTTTCTTTGGCAATTTAATGAGATCTTTTACCGTTAGTACAGTCTTGCTCTTCTTTATAATTGGTAATTTGTATTTTTTGTTGTACTGGCCGTCATTCACTAGTTCATTTGATATTATTTTTACTTTATTCTCCTTAATAGTATTATCATCAGCAGTTGTTCCAGTACTGATTGTAACCTCTTCACATAAGCTGTCAAAAAAGAGAATGGGCAGACTGTTTATGTCCATATCATTAGAAACTTTGCACTCTAATCCTTGTAAGTTACTATTGTAGTTTTCCATGTCCGCGATACTGTTGTAATTCTGCTCTCCCATATTATTATCATAATTTTCGTAAGCCGTAACGTTAACGTAATCGTAATCTTTCTGACTTATATTTCCGCATTTTGATTGTTCTGAGTTGTTATGGTATACTTCTTTCCATTCTTTATTGTTATCATTATTGCCCTTGTCTTCTGTTTCAGATTTTTTAGTAATATCCTCGATAGCTTTTCCTTTAGTCTCATTGTTTTCTATATTTTTTTTTGAAGATTACTTCTTCTTTTGTTTCCAAATAGGATGTTTTCGTTTTTTTTCCAATCCCTTTGCCTTTTCCTTTGTAAGGTTCTATTTTATTAGGGCAATTTTCTTTTTCTTCAATTGGTAATAGTTTCATGTTTGTAATTATAGATTTTTTAGCTTTTCCTTTATTTTTATTGTTTAAACCTGATGGACCACTGATGCTAGTATCGTATTTTGTTTTTTTAGGATTTGCCATACTGTTATCAACATCAGTTTCTGCATAGTCTTCAATTTCTTCTGGAGCGACACTTTTACCTGGGAGTACATTGAGTTTTCTCTTTCTTTTTTGGTTCTACAATGTTCATTGAACCATATCTCATTTCTTTGAGGAGTGTTAGAACAGAATCTTCTACAGCACTTTCATGGTCTTCACCTAAGTCCTCGCCGGGAAGTCTGGCTAATATTTCAGTTGCATTTAAAGGGCTAATTCCTGTTTTCTTAAATCCAGCAATGATATTCTTTGAAGCATTTATTTGCAGTTCATCAATTAATAATTTCAATAATTTTGGAAAGCAACCTTTTGGAATTGTGGGTAATTGTCGACCATCTGTCTTTTTCCATTTTAATAATAATTGCCTCCAGGCTCGCTTCATTGGACGGAAAAATGCCACGTCCAGAGGTTGCGTCAGGTGAGTTGAGTTGGCTGGTAAAAAAACACAAAATCGATGTTGTGCGCTTTACATGTTTGGATCAAGTCTGCTGATAAATGTGAAGACAAATTGTCTCCAATTAAGCACTTTCTACCTGGTAAATTCTTAAAATAAGGAACCACCATATTTTTGTACCCAATCCTCAAAAGTGGTTCCATCAAACCATCCAGATGTCGACCTATTATATCGAGTACCCTCTGGGCCGTGTTGGATCCAAGAATCATATAAATGAGTTGCCTTGTATACCACATATGGTGGTAACATTTTACCATCTGCGGTACCAGCCATCATAATAGACACGGAAGCCTAGGTATGGTTCAGAACTCTTTCAGGGTACTTGCATCCCCGTTTGATTAGTATTTTTTTCCGCCCAGGGTCGTCCGTCAAATTTGTTTCGTCGTAATTTAAGATGTTAGAAGCAGGTACACCATTTAAAGACTTCTCAAGTTCTGTAAAATATTCTTTAATCGTATCTGGAGATACCTTAGCTCTCACACGCTTGATATTTTCACAAACTCTTTGGGAAATCTCATTTTTGTGTCTTAATAGGAAGCTCTGTACAAAATCTGGTCCTGGAAAATTGTCTTTAAATCTTTTATGAATTATACCTATCTTATCAAGATACATTTTTACTATGTACCTGAGATCCAAAGTATCTAAGGGATAACCCCATTCTGCGCATTTGTTTATATTTTCTATTAGAAACATATCAGTTTCATCGGATAGAGCTCTTTGGCCTCCATGTTGCTTCATATCCCGCGTACAATGACGATATAACACCGATTTGTGTATACCATATTTTTTTGCAACTTCTTCTAATTTTACATTTCGGGATGATGCATACTCTTCCACAGCTTTTTTTATGATCTCCATGTTATATTTTTTATACCTTTTTTTTGTAGGATCGGGTTTATATACACGCGGCATGTTGAATACGGCGGTATGTATCTGTAAATGAAAATAATCACGTTAAAAATATTATTTATTTATCAATCATTAAATTTACAGCTCCATACATTATTAGTAGTATTAAGTTCAATTAACAGTTTTTGACAACCCTATTCATTTATCTCTATTGACCCCTCATTAGTTGCTATTCAAACATTAGTCGTTTCTATTATTCCCTACTAGGTTTCCATTAAACCCATACTAGAGTTCTATTCACCCTTCAATAGATTCTATTGACCCCTTTTATACAATAAATTTACACATACTGTGATTTTAACAATTTTTTGAAGTTTAATAACGGATTCTCACTTACCTTCACTGTATTTTTATAATTTATCGTACACCTTATGAGATAAACACATTAAACAGCACAAATCACAACTTTTTCAGACCTAAAATCAAGAGTTTCGGCAGTTGAATAAAACACGTTCACAGATGGTCGACTTTGAATTTAATTTGAAGGATAAATGTCAATTTTGACAATTAAAAATTGTTGCCAACACAAAGAAAAAATGTTGCTGTATTAAAATTCTACTAAAATTCTTCAACGAAAACTACTGAAATAATAACATTAAAAACTTTCCTGATTTTTTTCTATTCACCCCGCAATTTCTATACACCCCGTTTTACGGTACACAAGACACAAACTATTCAGATATAAATGTATCGGAGACATTGTTGTATACTTTGAACTTGATGAAATATATGATAGAAATGAACTGGGGATTGTTTAATGTACATATGAAGACGAGACTTGTTACTTTATAATAAACATAATGCAATATAATATGTTTGTTTTATTTATAACAGTTATATTCATTAGTGTGTTTTATTCTTAGTACTGGAACTAATAACTGAATGTCCTAGTACAGTACTCACAACTTAGTTTATAATGATTAATGTTACAACATATAGGTGAGGGTGAGTTACTATATCATGACATAGATGGCGCTAGTTTCCTTTTATAAGTTTCTTTTAAATACTTGTGTGTAAAATGTTATTCCGCTGTTTGTATGTCATAGAACCAACTCCGAAGTGTGGGGAGTTATGCCGTTTAATGTTACAACTTACAAGTGGCGCAATCTGTGCCGTACTAATTGTTATTTATTTACATATTTGAACGGCACATCAACAGTACATACATTAAACACTTTAAACTAAACATTTAAAACAGATACTTATCTGATGGATGTACCAGTTATAGACGTAAGTACACAGCACTGCTGAAGATTACTGTCTAGCTGCTTAATAATAATACATATCTTTTAAGATTACAAAAATATTACAAAAAAATAAAGATAACAAAAGAATTTTCCATTACAAAAATATTACGAAAAATTATTATATACTATAGTCCTCAGAATTATTTATATGACTGATTATAATAAATTAATGTACTTGTGGAACATGATACTAAATTTTGTACATAGTAAAAATAGGTATTAATTAAGTTGCAACCAATATTTGTAATTATTTATATAAACCACTTAATATTGAACCTTTGTTAGGTTGTGATGGCAACGTTTGGGTATCAACTTGTATTTGAAAGCTTTTAAATACTGTCTCCACCCATGTTGTAGCACATTACTACAATAAAGGCTGTACCTACCACAACACTAGTATTTTACTGTTTTTTCATTATTCTGAGTTAACATTGTCAATCAATTCTTTTATGTAACATCTGTACAGACACAAGATGACTTTGTTGTGTACGTGTAACATATTATAAAATAAATGAACGTCGCCGGGGCAAAGTGGTTGTATAGATAAAATATATAACGAGTGACGCCGCTGACTCCGCGAAACGAACACCAAGCCGTGTGAACCAGAAGATTCCTGATAACACACAAGCAATGGAATGGGATTGCTATCCTAACATCGGGGCAATAGGTTGTAAGTTTTAATATGTAATTTTCATTATAATATACATAAAAATAAGTTTTGTAGTTTTCCTAGTACCTCTGGTTGCCGCCCTACATAATTAGTGTTTCCTTTTTGCTACAATCGTTGAACTAAATATTTTCATTTTGTTAATAATATGGATGGAGATTTATTATGAAAATATATTTTTTTATTCTTCACATTTATACTAATTAATATAATACTAAAGGTAGGATTTAATTATTTTTATTAAAAATTCGCTACGTCTCTTTCACTTGTTTCCCTGTATATTCGCTATTACTCATTAGAATGTAAATAATAAAACCCTTACCTTATAACTTAAAAACAAAATGATATATAATTTAAGATTTATTCCGGTAAATTGCGAAAAAAATTATATTGATTAGTCTTGTAACCAATAAATCTGAAGCAAACTAAGAAATGGATAATATAAAGGAACGCATGAACAACCAAACTCACAATAAAGTAAAATATTCTATAAGATTCTCAAAATTCACTGGCACGTTGAATATAGAGCAAGAGCCAGGGCCAGCCAGGCATTCGTTGATTTACAAAAGCTGAAAGTTTTTCTATAGATGTACCCAATACAGGTAGTCACGATCCCCAACTATGAAAGGAGATCATTCTTTTTGGGCCTTTTTTGAAAGTGCCGGCCAACAAAAAAAAATGGTACATATTTGTAGAACTAACCATTTGGAACAATAGTTAATATGGCGCAAAAGTTGTAGGATCCAAGATATAGAAGTTATACAAGTTTCAAGATTCATCATTTTGGTACTTTATTTTTTCTGAAAGTGCCAGGAAACATAAAATAATGATTGATATTGCTAGAGTTAAGCTTCTCAAGCAAATCATAGCCATAATCTGTTAGAAACCTGTCGTTTTTATGTAATACTAGCGAACCCGACAGACGTTGTTCCGCCAAGTATCTGAACGCATGCAACACATTTCTTGATGATTTTATTATTTGTCTAAACTAATATGTATATCGGGGTGCCATTTTTATATATTAAAAAAATGGGCCTAGAAGCACTTTTATGACTGATTTTGTACCATTTCGGGTCGGATTTTATCATATGACGCGAGAGCAAGTGGCGCAGAGCATGTACATAACCGCATGACTCCAGATTTTCTATAGCATCTCTAAAACCACGGTCTAATATAAAAATGTCACCAGGCCGGTAAAACCAGTGAAATACATTATTCAGTGCATCATTTAAAATCTGGGCATCGGAGGTTGTTGCAGCGATGGGCCATCTACCGCTATTATCTTTTTCGTTAAATTTCTTATTGACAAATTACTTATGCCCTCCCATAATACATAATTATTTTTTTTCATATTGTGATTCTAATTTGAATAAACATTGAAATGTAGAATTTTTCAAAACAGTTTTAATTAAACTGTTTGATTTTTGATGTAATAACTTATTGAAAAGAAATTTTTTCTGCATAATTTGTCTAAAATTAATACTTCTTTCTTCAATAATTTTATGTAACGATTAATTTGTTAAATTATAAAATAGTTCACACAAAAGACATTGCTAAATGACAGCCGATGCGCAGTAGAAGCTCGCAATAGACCGAGAGATCTAACTCACTCACACTCGCTCAGATATATGTTCCTCGCTCTCGCACTTACGGAAGACTTTCAGTGTGCCTGGCCAGGTAAAAGCACCATCGAAACTGCCTCGCTACTGAGTAAATATAATTTAATACTTTCCTCAGTAACACATAAAAATCAGCTTATATATGTACTATAACGAAAGTACAAATAAAATTACTTATAATTTAGGGGTGCCTGGCTGGGTTTCCCACCTTACTAAGTGCCGGGCAATTTACAGCGTGATTTCTAATATTATTACGATGAAAATATATCAAAACTGAATTTTGTAGTAAGAGGAAAGTGAAAGAAAATTTTATACACCTTTAGAACGTGTTACCTGCCAAAGCCACCGCGACCCAAATTTCATAGTTGGGGATCGTGACTACCTGTATTGGATACATCTATAGAAAAACTTTCAGCTTTTGTAAATTAACGAATGCCTGGCTGGCCCTGGCTCTTGAACTAATACCATGAGAAATTGAAATTATTTTATAAACCGCCATCTATTGGCAAGTAGTTACAACCACGCTAATTTGACGATCAACCTATTATAGGTGGCGCTTCATTCTAAACTTTGGAGTATAGAATATTGTAAGGAATTTTCATAGTCCTCGTTTTTTATCTCTCAGCCAGAACTTTTAAATATATGTATATTGTAAATTGAGTTCAGTCGTAATATATGTATAAATAGAAACACAACAAAATAAAATATTTCATTGTTTGTTGAAACAAATCAGTTAATAATGACAAAAAATGGAATTACTAATATAAATGTCCTGATTTTTTTTTGATTTTATCTCGAGGAAGTCTCAAGCTTTTAAAACAGAAATCACAGTAATAATACTTAATACAAAGAGGAATTCAAATATTTCTATTATTAAAACACAACTTTAGCCTAAATTAGAAAAACAGTTTATAGAAATCATTACATACATACATTACAGTGTTGTACAAAAGCTCGATATACAGTCTGTTCACATCATACGAGTCAACTTAACTAATATCTCTCCCTTTAACAAATGCAGAGCACTTTTTCCCTCCCCGATCACTAAAGGCGGGCTCCTCAATACTCGTTAGTCATGAGCAATATCCTGATACCGAAAACACCAACACATCTAGAGCTATTCAAGGAAGATACTTCATGGAGCTCCTACTAAGTATATCGTCTCACAACTTTAAGAAGCGGCCAAAGCCTTTAGTTAATAGTTATGCTTATGGAAGATAAAAGAAGTATCTTCATCATCAGAAATGATGTTTGGTGTCAGCGAAAGATGCAAATAATCAGTTTAACTTATATTTTTTATTAAAGTTAACATTTAAAAAAAAAAACTATTTTCATCATAATTTCCTCCTCTAAAACATTGATTATATTCGCACATTAAGCACAGCGGTCCGAACACAACTAATATCTCTAATATAT